GTGGCTTCAAACAACATGATGTGGCTTCAAACAACATGATGTGGCTTCAAACAACATGATGTGGCTTCAAACAACATGATGTGGCTTCAAACAACATGATGTGGCTTCAAACAACATGATGTGGCTTCAAACAACATGATGTGGCTTCAAACAACATGATGTGGCTTCAAACAACATGATGTGGCTTCAAACAACATGATGTGGCTTCTAACAACATGATGTGGCTTCAAACAACATGATGTGGCTTCAAACAACATGATGTGGCTTCAAACAACATGATGTAACTTTCATCATCTTTTAAACAAACTGATGTGGAGGTTATCTTGAGGTTATCTTAAGATGATTTCAGGGCTTAGCGTCCCCGCGGCCCGGTCCTCAACCAGGGCCTCGTTTTTGTTACACACACCCAGGAAGCAGCCCGTAGCAGCTGTCTAACTCCCCAGATACCTATTTACTGTTAGGTGAAAAGAGCATCAGGGTGAAAGGAGCTCTGCCTATTAGTTCCCGCTTCCGCCGGGGACCGAACCCGGAACTTTAGGACTACGAATACCAAGCGTTGTCCTCTCAGCTGTCAGTTGCCATTCACCATTCAGTGCACTTCATTTACATAGTGAATAACACGACCAAAGTGACTCACAGTGCTGTAGGTATACCTCTGTCTTGAGTAAGTCACTCACTAAGGAGTCATAACTCAAGAGAGAATACTTGGGAAAGTGAGGCCAGCTGCTCTAGGCAAGTCATGAATATCTGATAGTTCTAGCTCCTGCAAGGGAGTCTGCCTAGTGCACTAAGGGCGACTGTTACAAGCAGAACAGTCGGGATAGCAAGGAAAATCTCACAGCCACATTACTGCATAATGTATTCCATTTGTTAACGTCTCTGACATTGAAAAAGTTCCGCCTGTCCCACTTTTGCGAATTTCACCCCAATGTTAAATTATATCATTATCTAATCTATCAATTTTCCTCATAATTTTATATGTAGTAATCACGTCTCCCTTAATTCTTCTTTAAGTGATGTGAGGTTCAATTCAAGTAGCCTTTCCTCGTAACTTATGCCTCATAGTTCTGGAACTAATCTTATTATATTTTATTTTATTTTATTTATATATATACAAGAAGGTACATTGGGTTTGTGAGAATACATTGGATAGTACAGTATTTACATTCTTGTAAAGCCACTAGTACGCGCAGCGTTTCGGGCAGGTCCTTAATCTAGCAAATAATTTTAAGTAGGTAATTTCAATCAGAATTGATAAATGATAAAGATACATTACAAGAGAAAAATGAGATGAGAGAGATAAGTAGGTATATTAAAGCATATTGTTATATTAAAGCTCTGATTGATTACATTGACAGCTTGATTAGTAATTTAAACAAGGTTAATAGACACCATACAGCAGATTGACAGCACATATAAGACAGCAATGATCACAATGGTAAAGATGTTCTGATTGGGTACATAAAGATTGGGAGACTGGGTAGCAAAAGATACAGATAAACAAGATTTATAAACACCATACAACAGATAGGCAGCACATATAAGAAAACAGAATGATCACAATGGTAAAGATGTACAAATTGGGAACATAAAGGTTGGGAGATTGGGTAGCAATTGATAAAGTGCAATTTTAAGGCAAAAAGTGAAAAACTATGAAGATGAAATTAGGTACTTTTTAGTATTGATTTTGAATGATGTAAAAGTTGGACAGCTTTTCAATTCAGTAGGGAGTGAGTTCCATAAACTGGGTCCCTTTATTTGCATAGAGTGTTTACACAGATTAAGTTTAACTCTGGGGATATCAAAGAGATATTTATTTCTGGTGTGGTGATAATGGGTCCTATTACATCTGTCCAAGAAGAGTTTCAGACAAGGATTTGCATTTAAGAACAGGGTTTTGTAAATGTAGTTGACACAAGAGAATTTGTGGAGTGAGATTATGTTTAGCATGTTTAGGGAGTTAAACAAAGGGGCTGTGTGTTGTCTGAAAGCAGAATTTGATATTATTCTGATAGCAGATTTTTGCTGGGTGATGATGGACTTGAGGTGGTTTGCAGTGGTTGAACCCCATGCACAGATACCATAGTTGAGATAGGGATAGATTAGTGCATAATATAGAGAGATGAGAGCAGAGTTAGGAACATAATATCTGATTTTGGAGAGTATACCAACTGTTTTAGAGACTTTCTTAGTTATGTGATGTATGTGGGTACTGAAGTTGAGTCTCTTGTCTAGGAATATGCCAAGAAACTTTCCAACATTTTTATTGCTAATGTTTACATTGTCAATCTGAAGTTGAATTGCATTTGTAGATTTGCTTCTGAATAGGATGTAGTAGGTCTTTTCTATATTAAGTGTTAGTTTGTTGGTTGACATCCATAAGTGGACTTTTTTTAGTTCATTATTAACAACACCATTTAGTGTATGTGGGTTGGGGTGGGAGAAGATGAGGGTAGTATCATCAGCAAACAAAATAGGTTTCAGAATGTTAGAGACATTAGGCAGATCATTAATGTATATAAGAAAAAGAAGAGGTCCCAAGATGCTGCCCTGTGGCACTCCAACAGTTATTGGTAGAATGGGAGAGGTTATATTATTGATGGCTACACATTGGTGTCTATCACTAAGATAGGATTGGATATAGTCCAGTGCATGGCCTCGGATTCCATACTGATGGAGTTTACTTAAGAGGTAATCATGATTAACAGTATCAAAGGCCTTTCTCAGGTCAATGAAGAGTCCAACTGGAAACTCATTTTTGTCAAGAGCTGAGTAAATTATATCAAGGAGACTAATAATTGCATCGTTGGTACTCTTTTGAGAGCGGAAGCCAAACTGACAGGGGCTAAGAATGTCGAATTTTACGAGATAGGAGTAGAGCTGTTTGTAGATAATTTTTTCAAATATTTTTGATAGTATGGGTAGGTTCGATATTGTTCTATAGTTGTTTATGTCTGACGGATTACCTCCTTTATGAACTGGCGTTACTCTTGCTTTTTTAAGGATATCAGGGAAGGTATGACACTCAAGGGATTTGTTGAACAGCAGATCTATAGGTGGCGCAAGGGCATGGGAGGCGCTCTTGTATACAATGGATGGGATTTCACTGATGTTCCCAGGTTTGGTTTTTAGTGAGTGTATGATGGACACAACATCTGACGGGCTGACTGGTGAGAGGAGAAGAGAGTTTGGATAGCTGCCTGAGAGATATGTGTTGATATGTGTCTGAGTCTGTGGGATTTTACTTGCAAGGTTAGCACCAATCGATGAAAAGAAGCTATTAAATTCATTCGCCATTTCTAAGTCAGATGACAGTGTAAGGCCATCCTTAGAGAGTGTTATCTGGTTGTGGGAGTGTTGTTTAGTTCCCAGGATATTAGAGATGGTATTCCATGTGCTTTTCATGTTGCCTTTTGCTTCTTTGAATCTAGTCTCATAATATGAAAGTTTTGCTTTTCTTATGATACTGGTAAGCACTGACGAGTACCTTTTAACTACTTCCACTGAAACTAGGCCACTCCTAAATTTCTTTTCGTATTCGTGTTTTTTGTTGATTGATTTAATTATGCCACTTGTGAGCCACGAGTTATTTTTTCTTTTATCAGTTACTTGTTTGGTAAGGAGGGGACAGTGAGTGTTGTAGAGGCTTAGAGTTTTGGAGAGAAAGAGGTTAGTTGATGAGTTTATATCCTGTGAATTATTAAATTCAGATTCCCAGTTAATATTGTGGAGAGCATTAGAGAGATTGCCTAAAGCTGATTCACTATGTAGCCTGAATGAAAGTTTTTTGGTTTCTGGTGGTGATGTGTCAATGTTTGCTATGAGGAAAGTAGGATAGTGGTCAGTTGTTCTGTCATAAATTACCCCAGATGTAAGGGGAGCTGTTATATTAGTCCATAGGTGATCCAGGGTAGTGGCAGATGTTTGAGTGACTCGGGTGGGCTTGGTGATTGTGGGGATTAGCATACAGGAGTGCATGCTGTTACGGAAATAGTCAACTTGAGGGTTGTTTTGAAGACCCAGGTCAATATTGAAATCACCTCCCAGAATGATGTGATTTTTGTTGAGATTGTTATTTATGATAAGATTCCTTACATTGTCAGAGAATAAAGCTATGTTGGTATTAGGAAATCTATAGATGGCACCGATTATCAGGGAGGATTTAAGGGATTTACTGGAGAACTTGGCAAAGGTATATTCACAAAAGTCGTCTCTATCATTAATGACACTATTGCAAGTGAAGGTATCTTTGTAATATATTGCTGTACCGCCACCTTTTTTATTAGGCCTGCAGTTATGAATGGCTTTATAACCAGGTAAATTGTAGAGTTGGGTATAGTCATTACTTAGCCAAGTTTCTGTTAAAATGATGAAAGATAATTTAGTACCTAGTGCTGTAAGAAGTGCATTTATATAATCAAAATGTTTACCAAGTGACCTAACATTTTGGTTGTAAACTGATAAGCAGGTGCTATTTAGGAGTTTGTTTTTATACCTTTTGAGATATATACAAGAGTTGTTACATTCTTGTACAGCCACTAGTACGCGTAGCGTTTCGGGCAGGTCCCTGGAATACGATCCCCGCCGCGAAGAATCGTTGTTACAGCCAAGTATACATTTTACTGTTGAGTTAAACAGAGGCTACAGAAAAGGATTTGCGCCCAGTAAATCCTCCCCGGCCAGGATACGAACCCATGACAAAGCGCTCGCGGAACGCCAGGCGAGTATCTTACCACTACACCACGGAGACTGTTATACCTTAGAACCTTCTCCAACATAGTTTTGTACTTGACTAGTATGGACGCCTTGCTGGAGCCGCATACTTCAGGATTATTCTGACATATGTGGTATACAAAGTTCTAAATGATTCCTTACACAAATTGTTAAACACCTTTCTGATGTCAGCCAGCCTCTCATACGCTGCTGATGATATTCTTTTTGTGTGGGTTTCGGGAGACAGGTTGTACTACATATCGCATTTGTGGCCTTACCAGTGCAAGATGTTAAGGGAACGCTACAACGACGCACGCAGTAAACGCTACAACGACGCACGCAGTAAACGCTGCAACGACGCACGCAGTAAACGCTGCAACAACGCACGCAGTAAACGCTACAACGACCCACGCAGTAAACGCTGCAATGACGCACGCAGTAAACGCTGCAACAACGCACGCAGTAAACGCTGCAATGACGCACGCAGTAAACGCTACAACGACGCACGCAGTAAACGCTGCAACAACGCACGCAGTAAACGCTGCAACGACGCACGCAGTAAACGCTGCAACAACGCACGCAGTAAACGCTGCAACGACGCACGCAGTAAACGCTGCAACAACGCACGCAGTAAACGCTGCAATGACGCACGCAGTAAACGCTGCAACAACGCACGCAGTAAACGCTACAACAACGCACGCAGTAAACGCTACAATGACGCACGCAGTAAACGCTGCAACAACGCACGCAGTAAACGCTACAACAACGCACGCAGTAAACGCTACAACAACGCACGCAGTAAACGCTGCAACAACGCACGCAGTAAACGCTACAACAACGCACGCAGTAAACGCTGCAACAACGCACGCAGTAAACGCTACAACAACGCACGCAGTAAATGCTGCAACAACGCACGCAGTAAACGCTACAACAACGCACGCAGTAAACGCTACAACAACGCACGCAGTAAACGCTGCAACAACGCACGCAGTAAACGCTACAACAACGCACGCAGTAAACGCTGCAACAACGCACGCAGTAAACGCTGCAACAACGCACGCAGTAAACGCTACAACAACGCACGCAGTAAACGCTGCAACAACGCACGCAGTAAACGCTACAACAACGCACGCAGTAAACGCTGCAACAACGCACGCAGTAAACGCTACAACAACGCACGCAGTAAACGCTACAACAACGCACGCAGTAAACGCTACAACAACGCACGCAGTAAACGCTACAACGACGCACGCAGTAAACGCTACAACGACGCACGCAGTAAACGCTACAACGACGCACGCAGTAAACGCTACAACGACGCACGCAGTAAACGCTACAACGACGCACGCAGTAAACGCAACAACGACGCACGCAGTAAACGCTACAACAACGCACGCAGTAAACGCTACAACGACGCACGCAGTAAACGCTACAACGACGCACGCAGTAAACGCTACAACGACCCACGCAGTAAACGCTACAACGACCCACGCAGTAAACGCTACAACGACGCACGCAGTAAACGCTACAACGACGCACGCAGTAAACGCTACAATGACGCACGCAGTAAACGCTACAACGACGCACGCAGTAAACGCTACAACGACGCACGCAGTAAACGCTACAACGACGCACGCAGTAAACGCTACAACGACGCATGCAGTAAACGCTGCAATGACGCACGCAGTAAACGCTGCAACGACGCACGCAGTAAACGCTGCAACGACGCACGCAGTAAACGCTGCAACGACGCACGCAGTAAACGCTGCAACGACGCACGCAGTAAACGCTGCAACGACGCACGCAGTAAACGCTGCAACGACGCACGCAGTAAACGCTACAACAACGCACGCAGTAAACGCTACAACGACGCACGCAGTAAACGCTGCAACGACGCACGCAGTAAACGCTGCAACGACGCACGCAGTAAACGCTGCAACGACGCACGCAGTAAACGCTACAACGACGCACGCAGTAAACGCTCCACAAGAGCAATTTCCACCAGAGGCCAACTGTAGCTGATCCTCTGTCATCCTCGGTTGATAACCGCGTTGTGAACTTTATGATGTAATCATTGTAGGGACCAAGATCATCTATGGGTATGAGGCGCTGTCATCCCATGTTCTCCCTGAGCCATGTGTGTGACACGGCACCAAGCCTGGTCCGCCCTGAGCCATGTGTGTGACATGGCCTCAAGCCTGGCCTGCCCTGAGCCATGTGTGTGACACGGCACCAAGCCTGGCCTGCCCTGAGCCATGTGTGTGACACGGCACCAAGCCTGGCCTGGCCTGAGCCATGTGTGTGACACGGCACCAAGCCTGGCCTGCCCTGAGCCATGTGTGTGAACACGGCACCAAGCCTGGCCTGCCCTGAGCCATGTGTGTGACATGGCCTCAAGCCTGGCCTGCCCTGAGCCATGTGTGTGTGAGACAGCACCAAGCCTGGCCCGCCCTGAGCCATGTGTGTGAACACGGCACCAAGCCTGGCCCGCCCTGAGCCATGTGTGTGTGACACGGCACCAAGCCTGGTCCGCCCTGAGCCATGTGTGTGACATGGCCTCAAGCCTGGCCTGCCCTGAGCCATGTGTGTGACACGGCACCAAGCCTGGCCTGCCCTGAGCCATGTGTGTGAACACGGCACCAAGCCTGGCCTGCCCTGAGCCATGTGTGTGAACACGGCACCAAGCCTGGTCCGCCCTGAGCCATGTGTGTGAACACGGCACCAAGCCTGGTCCGCCCTGAGCCATGTGTGTGTGATACGGCACCAAGCCTGTCCCGCCCTGAGCCATGTGTGTGACATGGCCTCAAGCCTGGCCCGCCCTGAGCCATGTGTGTGTGACATGGCCTCAAGCCTGGCCCGCCCTGAGCCATGTGTGTGAACACGGCACCAAGCCTGGCCTGCCCTGAGCCATGTGTGTGTGACACGGCACCAAGCCTGGCCAGTTCTGAGCCATGTGTGTGAACACAGCACCAAGCCTGGTCCGCCCTGAGCCATGTGTGTGAACACGGCACCAAGCCTGGCCCGCCCTGAGCCATGTGTGTGAACACGGCACCAAGCCTGGCCCGCCCTGAGCCATGTGTGTGAACACAGCACCAAGCCTGGCCCGTCCTGAGCCATGTGTGTGAACACGGTGAGCACTATACCAACACTACCATCCCACTATATATGGACATATTTAACACTGAATCAAACACTAAAGGAACAATGGACTTCACTCACCTAGTTGTGTTTGCGGGGGTTGAGCTTCGGCTCTTTAGTCCCGGCTCTCAACTGTCAATCAACAGGTGTGCAGATTCCTGAGCCTACTGGGCTCTATCATATCTACATTTGAAACTGTGTATGGAGTCAGCCTCCACCACAACACTTACTAATGCATTCCATCTGCTAACTACTCTGACACTGAAAAAGGTCTTTCTGACGTCCCTGTGGCTCTTTTTGGGAACTAAGTTTCCACCAGTGTTCCCTTGTTCGCGTACAACCCGTGCTTAATAGTTTATCTATATACCCTGTCAATTCCTCTAAGCACTTTATAGGTAGTTATCATGTCTCCCCTAACTCTTCTGTCTGTCAGTGTCATTAGGTTTAGTTCCAGTAATCTTCCCTCGTAGCTCATACCCCTCAACTCGGGGACTAGCCTGGTGGCATACCTCTGAACCTTTTCTAACTTCGTTTTGTGTTTGACTACATGTGGACTACAGGCTGAACTACTGCATACTCCATTACTGGTCTGACGTATGAGATATACAAGGTTCTGAATGATTCCTTACACAACTTTCTGACGGTAGTTTTTATGCTCGCTAGCCTTGCATATGCCGCTGATGATATCCTCTTGATGTGGGCTTCAGGAGACTGGTCTGGTGTGATATCAACCCCCAGATTATTCTCTCTTCGTGATTCCTAGAGGATTTTCTCTCCCAGCTGGAACCTTGTGTTTGGCCTCCTGACCCCTACGCCTATCTTCATCACTTTGCACTTGCTCGAGTTGAACTCTAGTGGCCATTTGTTGGACCATTCCCTCAGTCTGGCCAGGTCATCTTGAAGTCTCTTCCTGTCCTCCTCTGTCTTAGCCCTTCTCATAATTTTAGCATCGCCAGCAAACATTGAGAGGAATGAGTCTATATCCTCTGAAAGATCCTTTACGTATATCAGAAAGAAGATAAGTCCGAGTACAGAGCCTTGTGGGACTCCGCTGATGACACCACGCCACAGACGTGATGACACACGTCTGACGTATCACTCCTTACAGTAACACAGGGAGGTCACCCCCCTGTGGACACCCCTTTGTGGACACCCCTTTGTGAACACCCCTTTGTGAACACCCCTTTGTGAACACCCCTTTGTGGAACCTCCCCCCCTGTACATTCCTAATCAAAACAATTCTTCCAGCGGATAAGAAGTCGATTAAAATTAGATCCCTCATATTTCTTTTCTTTTCACACCTTTCCATCAACTCAGCCTCTTCGTACTCCATCATCAACATTCCTCAATCTGAAAATTGTGTCGAGAAAATTTTTTTTGGCTACACTTTAGGAAATCCTGGAATATTACGGGGAAGACTGATTTGAATATTTAAATAAGTCAGTCCTAAATCTTCCAAGAATGAATTGCCAACTTTGTAAAGTACACTTCTTGTTTTAATCACTTTTTGTTTTCATAGAACATAAATCTTTATTGGAACTTTTGTAGTTTATTTATAAATGTTTTAAATATTTCGTGTATGTTGGGTTATGTATATATTGTGTAGGTTATTTTACACATCTATTTTGCATGGGATTCTTGTATATTTTTAGGTGCTGTGTTATACATTGTCGGAGGCCTTGAAGTTATCAAACTCTCGTCTCTACTTTGTTGCTGCTGCTGCTGCTACTGCTGTTGCTTGCGTTGTTGTTCCTGCTGCAACTGTTGTTCCTGCTGCTACTGCTGTTGCTGCTGCTACTGCTGTTGCTGCTGCTACTGTTGTTGCTGCTGCTACTGTTGTTGCTGCTGCTACTGCTGTTGCTGCTGCTACTGCTGTTGCTGCTACTGCTGTTGCTGCTGCTACTGCTGTTGCTGCTACTGCTGTTGCTGCTACTGCTGTTGCTGCAACTGTTGTTCCTGCTGCTACTGCTGTTGTTGCTGCTACTGCTGTTCCTGCTGCTACTGCTGTTGTTTCTCCTTATTTTGATGAGGCTTTTTTGTTATTGTTGTTGCTACTGTTCATGGTGGCAGCTGTTACTGCTGCTGTCTCTTGTTTTGTAGCTGCTGCTGTTTCTGTTGTTGCTGCTGTTGTTGTTGCTGCTGTTGTTGTGGCTGCTGTTGTTGTGGCTGCTGTTGTTATGGCTGCTGTTGTTGCTGTTGCTGCTGTTGTTGCTGCTGTTGTTGTTGCTGCTGTTGTTGTGGCTGCTGTTGTTGTTGCTGCTGTTGTTGCGGCTGCTGTTGTTGTTGCTGCTGATGCTGGTGCTGTTGTTGTTGCTGCTGTTGTTGCTGCTGTTGTTGTTGCTGCTGTTGTTGCTGCTGTTGTTGTTGTGGCTGCTGTTGTTGTGGCTGCTGTTGTTGTTGCTGCTGTTGTTGTGGCTGCTGTTGTTGTTGCTGCTGTTGTTGTTGCTGCTGTTGTTGTTGCTGCTGTTGTTGTTGTGGCTGCTGTTGTTGTTGCTGCTGTTGTTGTTGCTGCTGTTGTTGTTGCTGCTGTTGTTGTTGCTGCTGTTGTTGTTGCTGCTGTTGTTGTTGCTGCTGATGCTGGTGCTGTTGTTGTTGTTGCTGCTGATGTTGCTGTTGTTGTTGCTGCTGTTGTTGTTGCTGCTGTTGTTGTTGCTGCTGGTGCTGTTGTTGTTGCTGCTGATGTTGCTGTTGTTGTTGTTGCTGCTGATGTTGTTGCTGCTGATGCTGGTGCTGTTGTTGTTGCTGCTGTTGTTGTTGCTGCTGATGCTGGTGCTGTTGTTGTTGCTGCTGATGCTGGTGCTGTTGTTGTTGCTGCTGTTGTTGTTGCTGCTGTTGTTGTTGCTGCTGTTGTTGTTGCTGCTGTTGTTGTTGCTGCTGTTGTTGTTGCTGCTGATGCTGGTGCTGTTGTTGTTGTTGCTGCTGATGTTGCTGTTGTTGTTGCTGCTGTTGTTGTTGCTGCTGTTGTTGTTGCTGCTGATGCTGGTGCTGTTGTTGTTGCTGCTGATGTTGCTGTTGTTGTTGTTGCTGCTGATGTTGCTGTTGTTATGGCTGATGTTGCTGTTGTTGTAGCTGATGTTGCTGTTGTTGTAGCTGATGTTGCTGTTGTTGTAGCTGATGTTGCTGTTGTTGTTGTTGTAGCTGATGTTGCTGTTGTTGTAGCTGATGTTGCTGTTGTTGTAGCTGATGTTGCTGTTGTTGTAGCTGATGTTGGTGTTGTTGTTGTTGTTAATGTTACAGGTGTTGCTGGAGTTGATGGTAGTAATGCCACTCACATGGTGGCACCCACAACACTCAGCTCTCTCTAATCTCCGGTCACAGTGGCCGTCGACTCTCTCAGTGATGGCGGTCAAGATATATCTGGTTACCGTCTAGTTGTGTGTAGGAACCGTCTCATCTTTATTTCTGGCAGGTCTTTGTTGTTGTTATTGTCTTGTCTACATATATTGAGATCACTGGGGATGATGTCGGGAATCTGACACATACTAATAATATATATTAACACTGTAACCATCATAAGATGTAAGTTAATTTACATTAGTTAGTCATCAAAAGTTTAAGGAGCATGGGAGATTCTGTGACGTCATAAAACACATATATTTACATATCACGTATCTTTTAAAGCGACAGTTTAGTAATTCAACTCAATAAAAAACTGTTGTTAATGCTTTAACTAGATGAAATATATAATAAACTTAAAGGCTTCCTCCTAATGTCAACAAAGGACAGAATTGGAACCGACAGACACTCCCGCGCAGGGAGCCAGCCAGTCATTGTACCAGAATGTAAACAAACACACGAGAGGGCTTCTTGTGGGAGTATCGCGACACGCACACCTCGTCACACACTCAAAATTATAAGTCGACCAACCGAGAAACTGCCACAGCGACACTTACACTAACAACGGAAAGTGCTAATTATATCCGTACAGTATACAAATGTTTGTAGAGCTCTTATTCATTATGTAGTATTGCTGATATGATTATGCAGCGGGAGAAGCCCCAAACCAGGGTAAGCCAGGTTTACAATAAATAACATAACGTTTATTTGTAATATAACATATTTGTGGATGCAGTTAATATTCTGTAGTCATTTGGAAGGTGTAGTTCAAGGGAGAGAGGTTACCGAGAGTTTACCACCTACAAACACCACAGACGGTTGCATGCTTCGACTGCCCCAATAGATGCCATTCAGTGCCACCATTCAGTGCCACCATTCAGTGCCAGCCGCCATTACATGACCATTAGGTCCACGTGTGGCTAACCCAATGTTGATGTTTAGCGACCAGTTCTCTCTCACCGCCAAAACAGGCCATATCAGCAATCACAGCTGAGAACCCATTTAACTTAACACTAACACATGTTCACAATATAATAATTAAAAGTATTAACACAAATACTGTAGCCTATTCAAACAGCAAGTGCATATAGCTTATTTATACCCCACCAATTGTAGTATAAGCTATGAACATTTAACAACCTGCCACATGTATTCAGGTAAGACTTGGCAGGTTAAATTTTAAAATACAGTTCACTATTTGAAGTAATATCAATTAAATTAAATAAATTAATTTATTAAATTTAATATAAATAAACTAAAAAATCAATAATTAAATAAAATAACACATTAATGCCTGCTAGGAATTACCCCACAGATGATAGTCTCTATGTGGGCATGTAAAGGCATTAACGACATTCGTCTCTTCAAGGCGTTTCGCTTGGAGTTAGCGAAGAGTTCTTCGTGAGCAAATCAGCAGACTTCTTGCACTTTAGTTAATGGTTAATGTTACATGGTGATAATAATGTTAATAGTGGCGATTTCAGCGCCATCTATGGGTCTGCACTCTATCTCCCCGGTATTGGGTGCTATGCAGACAACGCCATCTGTTGGTGGTGGCGTGGTATCAGTGAAAGGCTCCGGTTTCCTGCCTCAGTTAGAAGACGAGGTCGATGATGATGACCTCTGGAGTGTGGCGAATCGAGATCAACGCCATCTAGGTTGTGGCTACAATTTACAATTTCAATTCCTCGAGGGGAAGGGTGTTATCCTAAGGGCACCCAGTGTACTGTTCGTCTAGTTAATGACGTTTTATGTTCACAGAGGTGACATAAGCAGGCGATTGAGCCGAGGAAGGTAGTTTACCTTGGGCAGTTTAAGAACTCTTGACTTGGTCCTGTGAGAGGACGAAGTGGCCGCCGTCGGTTATAGCAGTGTGTTAGCTGCTGGTTTATGCAGTGTTGGATGGACCGATGTACCCGGGATTGATCAGGAAGAGTTATGCGACGACAGTGGTGCATCTGTTGAGGAGTGCTGCTAGCGAAGCTAGAGACTTGTGCCAGGGCAATAGCTACCCCTGTCAGCGTGTTGCTGAAACCCTCTACCAGTGTGTATCTAGAGAGTGGAGGTGGGGTATTGGCACATAGTGATAATATGGTGTGAGTGGACTGGCCCATGTTGAAGGTGAACTCGCCGGTGTTTGCATTAGGTGTGGACGACGTGTACCTGGAAAGTGGAGTCACCAGGATTGATGAACACTGTCGATGTGTTGTGTCCTGAGTGAAAGAGACACTTTGTAAATACGTGTTGTAAAACTTTAATATAAAATATATAATTGTGAAGATGTTAATATATTGGTGAAGGTGTAATTGTGTATTGTTTATCCCGCCTTTTATTCTTTGCACTACTACTTGCCACAGCCAGTTCTTGAAAACTTACCACCGACTTTGGGATTGGATACAGAAATAGAGGTTACAACAGCAAGAACTCGGTTACTGACCCAAAGTGGCCGCAACAGTTAACTGTTTACTGGTAAAAATGCCTTTGAAAAGAAGTTTCTGAAGAAAAGCTAAATAGGAGAGAGTCCTTATTTCGTCATTGCAGGTTCACCTTATTGATATCTTCCCCATACTCCTTAGAGCATCCTTTATGCCAAGAACTTGTCATACTCTGCTGAGTTCCCCGTCAACCTGCTTCCACCTGAGTGAGAGCAGCACTCTTGACATGGCCGGCCACAATGTTTCCCTTCTACCAAGCAAGGGAGTAATGGAACTCTTAGTTCCGTTAAATATTATGGTGAGAGCTGTTATTGTCTAGAGTCATAAGATGTTATTCAAAGTTGCGTATACACGTGACATGCACGTAAAGTAGTTTCTCCTTAAAAAAAGACATAGTTAAGGGAACAGCACGTAGAGGAGACACCCAGAGTATTGGGGGCTACTGCAGCACGTAGAGGAGACACCCAGAGTATTGGGAGCTACTGCAGCACGTAGAGGAGACACCCAGAGTATTGGGGGCTACTGCAGCACGTAGAGGAGACACCCAGAGTCTTGGGGGCTACTGCAGCACGTAGAGGACCCTAAAGAGGAGTTACTCGCTCATCTTCAGCATTGTTCCCCTAAATATTCTCAGATCATAGAGCCGGAAAGACAGTTTAGTAATATATATATATATATATATATATATATATATATATATATATATATATATATATATATATATATATATATATATATATTTATTTATCTATTATATTATAAAAAACTAATCTATCTTCCCTATCAAGGCAATATAATGATCAGCACTTGTGAGGTTAGAACATAAGGGACCAGTACCCACTCAAGGGACAGTAGTGATGAAGCTTCCTTGTAGACACCAGATTGTCAGTCCCCCCCCCTCCCCGTGATGTCTACACCCCAGGGACCAGATTCACAACAGCACTTACGTAAGCACTTACGAACCTGTACATTTTTTCTCAATCTTTGGCGTCTTTGTTTCCAATTATTAAACAGTTAATGAGCTCCGAAGCACCAGGAGGCTGTTTATAACAATAACAACAGTTGAATGGGAAGTTTTCATGCTTGTAATCTGTTTAATAAATGTAACCAAAACCGTCAAAGATTAAGGAAAGATGTACACGTTCGTAAGTGCTTGCGTAAGTACTTTCGTGAACCTGGCTCCAGACTCCTGTCTGGACTGAGACACCGAACACAAACTCTCCTCTCCCTCAATTGATCGATTGATTGATGAAGATTAAGCCACCCAAAAGGTGGCACGGGCATGAATAGCCCGCAATCCTCTCCTGTTGTTTAAAATTTAGCTACTGGAAACAAAAAGTTCCAAGTAGCACGGGCTATGGTGAGCCCGTAGGGACTTACCTGGCACAGGAGCGGGGCTATAACTTCCCTCTCCTTCTCTCGTGACGAGCTTGTATATCCGTCTATCCCCAATTTTCCGTAGAATGGACGTATTTGAATCTGGTAACAAGGGATTACCTTCCTACTCTAGAAACTACTGGAGGTGAAGTTTGTTAGACCTTACCTCACCTCCTTGTGAATGTCTCGTAAGTCAGGTCGTAAGTCTCTACTCAAGTCATCTCAACAACTATTACATCGCCCTCAGAGACCAGCCCTCGGACACTCACCCTCATAGACCAGCCCTCAGAGACCAGCCCTCATAGACCAGCCCTCAGAGACCAGCCCTCAGAGACCAGCCCTCGGAGACGAGCCCTCCGAGATCAAACCTCAGAGACCAGCCCTCAGAGACCAGCCCTCAGAGACCAGCCCTCAGAGACCAGACCTCAGAGACCAGCCCTCAGAGACCAGCTCTCGGACACTCACCCTCATAGACCAGCCCTCATAGACCAGCCCTCAGAGACCAGCCCTCAGAGACCAGACCTCAGAGACCAGACCTCAGAGACCAGCCCTCAGAGACCAGCTCTCAGAGACCAGACCTCAGAGACCAGCCCTCAGAGACCAGCCCTCGGACACTCACCCTCATAGACCAGCCCTCATAGACCAGCCCTCATAGACCAGCCCTCAGAGACCAGACCTCAGAGACCAGCCCTCAGAGACCAGCCCTCGGAGACGAGCCCTCAGAGACCAGCCCTCGGACACTCACCCTCATAGACCAGCCCTCAGAGACCAGCCCTCATAGACCAGCCCTCAGAGACCAGCCCTCGGACACTCACCCTCATAGACCAGCCCTCAGAGACCAGCCCTCAGAGACCAAACCTCAGAGACCAGCCCTCAGAGACCAGCCTTCAGAGACCAGCCTTCAGAGACCAGCCCTCAGAGACCAGCCCTCAGAGACCAGCCTTCAGAGACCAGCCTTCAGAGACCAGCCCTCAGAGACCAGCCCTCAGAGACCAGCCCTCAGGGACCAGCCCTCAGAGACCATCCCTCAGAGACCAGCCCTCAGGGACCAGCCCTCAGAGACCAGCCCTCAGGGACCAGCCCTCAGAGACCAGCCCTCAGGGACCAGCCCTCAGAGACCAGCCCTCAGGGACCAGCCCTCAGAGACCAGCCCTCAGGGACCAGCCCTCAGAGACCAGCCCTCAGAGACCAGCCCTCAGAGACCAGCCCTCAGGGACCAGCCCTCAGAGACCAGCCCTCAGGGACCAGCCCTCAGAGACCAGCCCTCAGGGACCAGCCCTCAGAGACCAGCCCTCAGGGACCAGCCCTCAGGGACCAGCCCTCAGAGACCAGCCCTCAGAGACCAGCCCTCAGAGACCAGCCCTCAGGGACCAGCCCTCAGGGACCAGTCCTCAGAGACCAGCCCTCAGAGACCAGCCCTCAGAGACCAGCCCTCAGGGACCAGCCCTCAGGGACCAGCCCTCAGAGACCAGCCCTCAGGGACCAGCCCTCAGAGACCAGCCCTCAGGGACCAGCCCTCAGAGACCAGCCCTCAGGGACCAGCCCTCAGAGACCTCAGAGCCGTGGGTCGTCATCAATACGAATGACTCTTCACCAGACGTCTTGAGTAGCTCTCTGCTCTCAAACTTTGTGGCTGCTCTTTTATGGACTTGCTGATGAGCCCCAATTTTCCGGGTCTCACGCCGGCGACCCTGAGGGACAATGTGATACGTCAAAACATCATCACGAGGCTCTGGTATGCAAATTTTCTGCAAAGATAAAGGGCAAGCAATCTGCACAGATGGCAGTGTGTATGTGTGTGTGTGTGTGTGTGTGTGTGTGTGTGTGTGTGTGTGTGTGTGTGTGTGTGTGTGAGTGAGAAATTTCAATTTCTCTTCCATATCTACCACATATGTTCCACCATCTTTCATATCCACAGGATACAGCCCAGAACACCTGTCTCCCAGATACCTACTCGCTCACTGGCGTATCTCGGGGAAATAAGCCCAGTGGAAAGCACCTGAAGTTCTGTCCCTGTCCAAACATGTGAGACCGTCTCTCAGGTAACTTTACCATAAAGTCAACTCTACGGTCCAGTAGAGTTTTATTACAACCAAACCACCAATATTTCATGTAAACAGGAGTCAGAGAGCTCCCCCCCCCCCCCACCGATCTTTTGGTAAGATCACCACCCTCGGGAAGATCTTCCAGTAAGATCACCTCCCTCGGGAAGATCTCTTCCGGCAAGATCACCACCCTCGGGAAGATCTTCCAGTAAGATCACCAGCCTCGGGAAGATCTTCCAGTAAGATCACCAGCCTCGAGAAGATCTTCCGGTAAGATCACCTCCCTCGGGAAGATCTTCCGGTAAGATCACCACCCTCGGGAAGATCTTCCGGTAAGATCACAACCCTCGGGAAGATCTTCCGGTAAGATCACCACCCTCGGGAAGATCTTCCGGTAAGATCACCTCCCTCGGGAAGATCTTCCGGTAAGATCACCACCCTCGGGAAGATCTTCCGGTAAGATCACCACCCTCGGGAAGATCTTCCGGTAAGATCACCACCCTCAGGAAGATCTTCCGGTAAGATCACCACCCTCGGGAAGATCTTCCGGTAAGATCACCTCCCTCGGGAAGATCTTCCGGTAAGATCACCACCCTCGGGAAGATCTTCTGGTAAGATCACCTCCCTCGGGAAGATCTTCCGGTAAGATCACCACCCTCGGGAAGATCTTCCGGTAAGATCACCAGCCTCGAGAAGATCTTCCGGTAAGATCACCACCCTCGGGAAGATCTTCCGGTAAGATCACCACCCTCAGGAAGATCTTCCGGTAAGATCACCAGCCTCGAGAAGATCTTCCAGTAAGATCAAACAGGTAACAAGACGGTGCTCTGGGAATCTTCCACGACGTTTTCAAAAACGCCCGCATGAAAAAATATTAAGAAACCCGGTAAGGTAACAAAGGCCGATCAGGTTGTTAAATGAGAGGATAAAAACTGCATTTTAGGAAGTTAATATTTTTACAGTGATAAAACTACAGAAAACGGGAGCTGGGTGTCAGATTCCCTGGTGTGGTTACCTTGAGGTGCTTCCGGGGCTTAACGTCCCCGCGGCCCGGTCGTCGACCAGGCCTCCTGGTTGCTGGACTGATCAACCAGGCTGTTGGACGCGGCTGCTCGCAGCCTGACGTATGAGTCACAGCCTGGTTGATCAGGTATCCTTTGGAGTTGCTTATCCAGTTCTCTCTTGAACACTGTGAGGGGTCAGCCAGTTATGTCCCTTATGTGTAGTGGAAGCGTGTTGAACAGTCTCGGGCCTCTGGTGTTGATAGAGTTCTCTCTCAGAGTACCTGTTGCACCTCTGCTTTTCAACGGGGATATTCTGCACATCCTGCCATGTCTTCTGGTCTCATGTGATGTTATTTCTGTGTGCAGGTTTGGGACAAGCCCCTCTAATATTTTCCACGTGTAAATTATTATGTATCTCTCCTGTCTGCGCTCAAGGGAGTACAGATTTAGGCTCTTTAGTCGGTCCCAATAGTTTAGATGTTTTACTGAGTGGATTCTAGCAGTAAAGGATCTCTGCACGCTCTCCAGGTCAGCAATTACTCTAGCTTTGAAAGGGGCTGTCATTGTGCAGCTGTACTCCACTCTAGATAGCACAAGCGTTTTGAAAAGTATCATCATCGGTATAGCATCTCTAGTGTGAAAAGTTCTTGTTATTCAACCTGTCATTTTTCTTGGAGTTGTGACGGCTACTTTATTGCGTTCTTTAAAGGTAAGGTCTTCTGACATGAGAGAGAGAGAGAGAGAGAGAGAGAGAGAGAGAGAGAGAGAGAGAGAGAGAGAGAGAGAGAGAGAGAGAGAGAGAGAGAGAGAGAGAGAGAGAGAGAGAGAGAGAGAGAGAGAGAGAGAGAGAGGAAGAGAGAAAGGGAGAGAGAGAGGAAGAGAGAAAGGGAGAGAGAGAGAAAAAACTAATGTGGGTAATTGGTTTTCCACAAATGATAATGTGGAATATTTCAGTGCACTCTGGGGGTACATTTCAGTGCACTCTGGGGGTACATTTCAGTGCACTCTGGGGTACATTTCAGTGCACCCAGTCTGGGTTTCACTCTCAACGGCACAACCAAGAATGCACCGTCCTAGTATATGTGTTAATGGGAATAGACCCAACATGTGGAATGTCTGCGTTAAGCCCTATAATTGCCACGAGCATCGTTATTGGCCGATGGGCCGTCCGGTGGTCAGTGTGTGATTGGCTGCCACGAGTTAGACTAGACATAGTGGAGGAATGCCAAAGTGTGATGAACCATCTTGTGTGCAGCCATAGGGCAGCCATAGGTCAGCCATAGGTCAGCCATAGGTCAACCATAGAGCAGCCATAGGGCATCAGCCATAAGGCAGCCATAGGTCAGTTTAGGGAACAGCCATAGGTCAGCCATAGGTCAGCCTTAGGGCAGCCATAGGTCAGCCTTAGGGCAGCCATAGGTCAGCCTTAGGACAGCCATAGGTCAGTTTAGGGAACAGCCATAGGTCAGCCATAGGGCAGCCATAGGTCAGCCTTAGGGCAGCTATAGGTCAGGTTAGGGAACAGCCATAGGTCAGCCATAGGGCAGCCATAGGTCAGCCATAGGTCAGCCATAGGTCAGCCATAGGGCAGCCATAGGTCAGCCATAGGTCAGCCATAGGTCAGTTTAGGGAACAGCCGTCAGGTCAGCTCCCAGGGCTCTGGCATCAGGATAGGATGTATCCGTACCGTCATACCCCTGGCCACCCACACTCATAGGTCTACGTAACTGAAATGTAAGCCGCCTTTCTCCCTAATTGGCAATTTTGACTGTTTGCTCCTATGAGGCCCTTCCCAACCACTTGGACTAGACGGTAGAGCGACGGTCTCGCTTCATGCTGGTCGGCGTTCATTTCCCGACCCCTCCACAAGTGTTTGGGCACCATTCCTTTCCCCCCGTCCCATCCCAAATCCTTATACTGACCTGTTACCAGTGCTATATATATATATATATATATATATATATATATATATATATATATATATATATATATATATATATATATATATATATATATATATATAGTCGTAATGGCTTGGCACTTTCCCCTGACAGTTCCCTTCCTATGAGGCCCTTGTGGGTCTTGAGGTGGCAGTTCCACCAGTCTGGTCAGGGACATTACACAGGGAAGACGTGAGTAACTGCTGAGTCACCGCCAGGAGACCTTATTCATGCTACTCAGTCCTCGAGAAATCAAGTTAACTGCACAATTCTCTTATTTAATTTGAAATAATGTGCGCCAGAAATCACACATCCGTAATAATACTGAATGAAATTTTGCCTTGATGTCGTCTGCACTAATATCTATAACATGTCGGATTACATATGTCGCTAATCGGTCATCTAGTGGTTGGTGGCATCTGACTTTGTATCCACAGATGTCAGAAACGTCTAAAAGCTCTAGTTCCTCGCTGTCTTTGTGGTCCACTGCGATTAAGTTCCCTTGTTTATCTGGTCTGACATCGTGCACTTTGATCTTAAATATCTTGAGAATGGCATTATATAGGGTACTTTGTGCCCTGATATTTCCGAAAACACTCCTATCTTCAGACGTATCGTCATCAAAGGCAATGATGAAAGTTTGCAAACCAGGAGAACTCGGCCTACCTCGGTTGAGTGGTGGATGTTGATACTGAGGCCGCGTGGGGCCGGGGTGGTCTCTGTTTACGTCTGTATGATGGCGACGTTGTGCCTCTAATCTATTCGCCTTACTGCGATATTAACTGTCTAGGAACCCTCCCTCTGGATCCTCCTCTAAAGCTGGGTGACAATTATGATCTAAATGCGTGCCCTGTATCAGTGGTTTCTTAAAACTCTCAAAGGTATCGTGAATGTTTGTAGGAGAGACGCTGTGCGCACCTCCAGCCGTCGCTATGTCGGAGTTTCCTTAAATATTCTTCCATTCCCCTTCTGGGGCAAACAGCACTGTCGTGCAAACTAATTTTCTCTCTGTGTTGTTCCATTATGTCTGTTCTCCGGCCTTTCCACAGCAGCCTTCGTTTGTCCAGACGAAAATATTAAAAATATTTTATTAAGAACTATAGGAGCTGAACACCTGGTTCTTGCAGTTAGTTGTACCAGTCCCTTAAGTCATCAGTTTCTTTGACTTATATTATATACTAGCTGTACCCGGCCACGTGTTGCTGTGGCTCAGCAACCCATGTGCGTTGCTGAGCCACAGCAACCTTCTCCTGTCTCCCAGTCCTCCCCACCATTCCCCCCTCCCCATCCCCTCGTACTCCTAACCATTCCCCACTCCCCCGTCCCCTCGTCCTAACCACCATTCTCCCCTCCCCTGTTCCTGTGTCCTCTCAGCCATTCCCCACTCCACCATCCCCTTGTCCTCCCCACCATCTCCCAATCCACCATCCCCTAGTCCTCCCCACCCTCTCCCAATCCACCATCCCCTCGTCCTCCCTTCCATTTCCCCCCTCCCCTGTCCTCTCGTCCTCCAAACCATTCCTCACTCAACTGTCCCTTTGTCCTCCCCACCATTCTCCATTCCCCTGTCCCCTCGTCTGCACCATCCCCAACTCCC